AACAAGTGGGGAGAGCTCACCATAGGAGTGTCACATCATCGCTTCTTTGTTGCCTTTTGGAATGTCCCAGTCGACCACTTCAAACCTCCTCACTCCAATTGTGCAGGTAAACTAATTAAACATCATCAACTACAAGCATTAAAAGAAGATAATGATTATTTGAGAGCATGAATAAAGCAGAAATGTTTAAAAATGGCACCGTGGTTGATGTGGTTGGATCTCTGCTCTGATTCATAAAATGTTGAATCACCTAATGGATTGTGTGCTTTACTGTTAGGAACATAAAATCTCATAGCCCAGAGGTAAATTTGTATGCCTTAATAAAAAGGACAAACAAATGGGTAATCTGTTACAGTCACTATAACGAGAACAATTTCCACAATAATTGTGGACCTGTGCTTATCTGGGTCAACAGCAATGATTTTGGTTCTGCAGATGTCCTTTTGACTGTGGTAACATTTGATGTGGTCAGACCCACCATCTCCCTTAGTTCCCTTTGCTTGCTTTCCACAGAGCTACACTCGTCATATTTTCCTTCTACAGAGCCGATTACTTACGGAGATAGGATTTGGTGTCAGTTGCAGAGACTTATTATCCAAGACAGGTATTTGAACTTGAAGGTTCTCTCAAGTGCCAAAACTAGAAGAATCTGGAGTTAAGGCCTCTGGTTCCAGTAAAATTGTATGTGGAACCAAGAGAGACCCTGCCCGTCACAGCCACATGAAAATGCTGAGCCCAAGACCTGTCCTTGGATGGTTCAAGGCAGCACATTCTATGGATTGGAAAGTGTGGGATACGGGAGTGGATGGAAGTCAGGGCAGAAACTGTCATGGCCTTTGGGTGGCCAGATGTGAGGACTGAAATGAACTCCCACCAAAACTACCTTGGGGCCCAAGTAAAATGGATCCTTCTAGATCTGGCCACACGAAAATGTCAGAGAATTAAAAAAAAAAAACTATCAAATAATTTTTTTCTATGGTGGTTGTCAATCAATGATATTCTAATTCCATCATTCCTTCTACATTTATTAGTAGCTACCAGACCCATCTATCTTTGGTTGCTAGCTCTGCCACTCCAGCTGTGTAATCTTGGGCAAATGAAAGGAAAGAAGCCAAGGGTCAGCCTAGAATTTTGCATCCAGTAAGAAAGACCTTCAGAAATTAGGGTGACACCTCCTTCTCTCCTTCTGTCTCTTTCCCCTGTTCATCCCTCTCTTGCCATGTCCTTCCCCCTGTCAGTCTCCCAAGCAGTTGGCAGAGCTGCAGAGGCACCCTGGTGGTAGCATGGGAACCCTCTAGATTGCAGGGCAGTGAGGACAGAAGTGGGCAAAACAGCTGTGTAGTTGTGTGTTTTAGTCACCACACACCCAGGGATGCAGGTGGTGAGGAGGTAGGGGAGCCGTGGGAAGGAATAGTAGAAGCAAACCTGCATTGCATGAAGGCACTAGAGGAGTGGGGGAAAGTAGGCAGAGAATTCAGGCACTGTGGTTATGAGTGGGATCCTCGAGCATGTAAGTGTTGAGCAAATAGAACGTAATACAGGTTTCTCACTGTTGGAGGAAATGTTTATAAGCAGAGAACAGGGAGAAGCTAGAATGAATCCTAGGGGCTGGTTCTGATGGGAGGAATTCAAATATGAATAACTCATATGTGAATAACTCTTTGTTCATTACACACATGCATGTGTGCACATGTATGAAACCTAATAATGAGTTTTTGCTGAGAGGTCCCAGAAGCAAATGCACACTGGTAGCAAAGCACAAAGCTAAAAGCAGGTCTTGGTTTCCAGCAACCAACCTCCATTGAAGGGATCTTATTCTTTGGTGAAGTGGTAGATACGAGGGCTACGTCTGGAACAGCACAAGATGAGCCTATAATGATTCCTTTTGTTAAATCATGCAGCTATACAGATCTTCCACTGGCCAATCTGGGACGACATGAACATGAAAACAGATAATGATTGCATCACAGTGCAATCCATTGAACCATACAGGAATTTAGGAATCCTTTGGACATGAATAAAAGAGAATGAATGAATGATTAAATAAATACATGGGGTGAAGGGAAGCCTCTTCCTTCAGTAGATTCCTACTAATTAGCGTTGAGGGCTGATGTTAGAGAGCCATCCTATTGTTGGCTGTTCCAATGGGAGCTGTGATAGCTAAGGCACGTGAGTGTAAGGTGACGAGGAGGAGCACAGTGGGACAATCTCAGGACATCTCCCCATAATGCGCTAAATCAGTTGCAAAGACCAAATGGTACACATAAGATGGAGAGATTTGGCAGATGCCAACCTGACCAGGCGATCAAGGTGAGCATAAGCACTGTTAGGATGGGTGAACACCGTGCATGCCCTGGTGTGAAGCGCTGGGAAGAGAACAGCAACATTTCCCAGGTCCTCCTACCGAGGAAATGTGAGTCGAGTCTGGTCTTGAGGAAGCCCAGAGAGACCCACGGGGAGGGTCATTCAACAGAACAAAGTAGGGCGAGGATATGAAAGAAAGGGAAAGTCAGCAATAACAGTTTGAGACTGGAGAACAAGGAAGAGACACAGCAACAAAGTGCACATTCCTGGTGGGTAATCCCAACCAGAAAGGAAAAGATGTTTCGGATCCGTTGGAAAATTTGAGCATGACCCATGGATAGAGCAGTGCTGGTGTGTCTACACTGATTTTCTAAATCAAAGGACAGTATGTTGTTATTGCAGGAGTGTCTCTGTTGTAGGAAAAACCACACCAGTGAGTTTAGGATAGTGTGCAGGGTGTACCCACATTGCTTTCAAGTGGTTCAGAAAAAAAAAGGTGATAACAGAATAAAATGTACAGAAATTAGTTAATACATCAAATGTAGTAAAGTATTAACTGTTGGGGTATTTGGGTAAGGGATAAAATTATGTATATTTGAAATGATATCAGATTAATAATTGTAAAAATAAAATTAATTCAAAGGCGTTGAATTTCTCAATTTTTAAAATGAGGTTGGATAGTGTTAAATACATCTTTGTTATTGATCACATTTTTTTAAAGATTTTATTTATTTATTTGACAGACAGAGACACAGAGAGAGAGGGAACACAAGCAGGGGGAGTGGAAGAGGCAGAAGCAGGCTTCCCCCGAGCAGGGAGCCCAATGTGGGACTCGATCCCAGGACCCTGGAACCATGACCTGAGCCGAAGGCAGACGCTTAACGACTGAGCCACCCAGGCATCCCTATTGATCGCATTTTATTACCTTTTTTCAAATAGACATTTTGTATAATTTAATGGGAAAAACAGTGAGATAAAGATATATTTAGATAAATACTGAAATAACTCACATAGAGCAAATCTGTACCTCAAAAAACCTGAAGGAGGTGCTTCATACTGAAGGAAAATTATACCAGAGGAAAACACACACAAAAGAATTATTATCAGCAGAATTGGCAATCATGTGGATACATGGGTAATCTATACTCTATCATTTCTTATTTTTTCTAAGAGACAACTGGCTCATGACAGCAAAAATAATAGCATTAATTGTGGGTAATAACATACATAGAATAAAAATTTATAAAAACAATATCATAAAACATTATAAGGTATATGGAATTACACTATTATAAAATTCTTACATAATCTGTGAAATGGTCAACAGTAGTTCAAACTAGAATGTAATACCTTGGAAATCCACTTTAAAACAGCTACAACGAGCAATGTCCACAAAAGCCAAACTGTGGAAAGAGCCGAGATGCCCTTCAGCAGACGAATGGATAAAGGAGAAGTGGTCCATATATACAATGGAATATTACTCAGCCATCAGAAAGGATGGATACCCACCATTTGCATCGACATGAATGGAACTAGATAGGATTATGCTAAGTGAAATAAGCAAGCAGAGAAAGACAATTACATATGGTTTCACTTATATGTGGAATATAAGAAATAGTGCAGAGGACCATAGGGGATGGGAGGGAAAACTGAATGGGAAGAAATCATGGGAGACAAACCATGAGAGACTCTGGACTCCAGGAAACAAACTGAGGGTTACAGAAGGGAAAGGGTTAGGGAATGGGGTAACTGGGTGATGAGTATTAAGGAGGGCATGTTTTGTGATGAGCACTGGGTGTTATATGCAACTAATGAATCACTGAACACTACATCAAAAACTAATGGCATATTGTATGTTGGCTAATTGAACATAATAAAAAATAAATAAAATAAAACAACTACAACAACCAGTAAAAATAGTTATACCTTAACACCATTAATTTTAAAAATACCAGACTGTCCCAAAAGGAGGCAAAAGGAAAAAGAGAGAAAAAAGCAGATAGGACAAAGAAAAAAACTGAGTCCCCAATTTCTGTACTTCAGTGATAAACTAGAAAATCCGAGTAACAAATTTATAGATGGCAGCTGTAAACCCTCCTTAATATTACTTCACTTATGCAATCGATGAACTTCACTGAGGGTCAGCCATGTAAAGAAAACCCACAAGGTATAAAGGCAAAGCAACCCACTGGACAGCATTGATTTTCTGTGTCGGACTACAGCATATTAGAGAAATAGGAGTGAAATGCAGTAATCAAGTCAGGCAGAAAACACCTCTCCATCTACCAGGTTTCTTACCTGCATCTGTGAAACAAAGCCTCTGCACCCCCTCGGTGTGGTATTTACCTGTATCAATATTAGATTGTGCACGAATGTATGCCAGGTGTTCACCGTGCCCACACTGAGATAAAATTTGCAGAAACACTTTGAATATTCCTGAAGAAAGAAGCTTTGTTTCAGCATCTGCCCTGTTGAGAGGGAAGACATGTTTCCTTAACAGTTCTGTATGTTTGTTTTAAGTTCATAATTGGTGAGTTGACTTTGAGATCTCCCAGGGCAGCCCCAGTATCAGATTTACCCTCTAAGATCACCGCGGAGGTTGTATAAAACACTGGTGCCAAGTAAATGGTCACTGAATAGAGTGATCGCGGTTATCAAAGCTGTCTTCCACACATTTACATCTGATCTCTAACAACTCAAGAGCAGGACCTAGGAGGCCCAGGGTTGTGAAGGATCAGCAGGAAGGGGCTAAAAGCAGGGAAACATAAAGCCAAAATACTAGAGGTCTGTATCAACCACAGATGGAAATCTAAAAAGGCAGCAACATAAAAAGTGACAATGGAATTCAGCACATAAAAGCTGACGAAGGTGGCCACCAGCAACAGGACGGTGTGGGCAGCTCTGGTCTCCAGGTGGTGTCTGTGGGAGCTGTTGGGGGTGTGAATATACCGCACTCTCTGGTGGTGCCTGTGCAGGAGCAGCACCATGGAACCACTGGACCAGACCATGAGGCCAATAAACATGGCATCCACAGCAATCCACAGGATGACTGTGTTTGCACTGGGATCCAAGGATGAGCAGAACCACTTCCCTTGGGTGTCAGTACTATTTCCCATGTGCTGTGCATCAGTGATGTTCACGGGAACATAGGTATTCAGGAAGATACTGAACATCCAGCAGATGCAACAGGAAGGATGAATGACCTTGGGGGCTTGTCCTCTGAGCATGGTCCACACCATCCTCCCCGGGATGAGTGTGAGGAACCGATAGGTGCTCAGGATGCAGGTGGAGCACATGGTGGTGTGGCGAGCCACTCTGTGTATATAATATACAAATTTACACCCAAGACTGGACAGGGGCTTCCTCAAAACAAAAGCTGCCTTCATGTAGGGAATCCCGGCAGAGACAAAATCCAAGAGATTGGCTACAGCCATGTGGGTGAGAATCATGTGGGAAGGCCTCTGCTTGTGTCCATGCCAGACTAGAGAGAAGTTACGGAAGAAGAGGGTGACATTGGCCAGAGCCCCAATGCCCATCTGGAAAAACAAGATGGTTTTCAGAGCCTTTTCCCCTGTGGTTCTTCGGGCATTGTTCTGAAAAGACATGGTGAGGGCTGCAGAGTGGCCTGGAGTGAAGAGCAGAGCAGGCTCTGTCAGTGCCTCGAGAGGACTCTTCCTAATTATAGGACCTCATAAAGGGATTCTGAGCCTTTTCTTCTCCTGGAAAGGGAGACAGTCATATTCCACGGGAGACTTGACCTGGAGAACATGCCACAGACACCAATTTCACATTATTACTTTGTACTTCTACTTACTTTTTTAAATTTTATTTTATTTAAATTCAACTAATCAACATGCAGTGTATTATTAGTTTCAGAAGTAGAGGTCAGTGATTCATCAGTTGCGTATAACACCCAGTGCTCATCACATCACGTGCCCTCCTTAATGCCCATCGCCCAGTTACCCCATCCCCCCACCAACCTCCCCTCCTGCAACCCTCGGTTTGTTTCCTGGAGTTAAGAGTCCCTCGTGGTTTGTATTTACTTTTATGTTCTGACTCTTCACCAGAATGTAAACTAACATAAACTTAAGAACCATGCTTGTCTTATGAAAAAATATGATTCATCCTCAAAAAGTGTTAAGTAACATGCACTTAGTAAATAAATAAGTGAAAGGAGGTGGTCACACTGTACCACTCTTCGAATTTATCATTATTCTGTCACCATAATTCATTAACCTAAGATAATGAAGTAGAAAAATGCAAACTCATGTTCAAATGTATGATTATCTAACTCATTAAATTTGCAACAGTCAGCTTTTGAGAATGCTTAATATTATTCATCAAAGTGACTGAATATGATATACCTTCTAAAAAATCAGTAGCCTTCTGATTAAGCAACATGACCCTAAAATGACCTCAGAGTGAACACAATGTGAATTTCATGTCAACTGTTGATCACAGTGGCCAAAACAAAGTTAGTTCCCATATAGTGTTAGAAGTAGTAATAATAGCAGTAGAAACATAATTATGGTACAAAATATTTGTTTCCTTGTTTTGATTACCTATCACTACAATATGAAGTAACTGGTATTACAATGTCAAATGGGAAAAATGGATCAGGTATGTTCCACCAACCTACTTCTGAGACTTGAAAATTAAATATAATTCATCTCACATTTTTTCTCTTTCTCCTTGATGCTTCACACACACACAGAGCAACACTCTCTCTCTCTCTCTCTCTCTCTCTCACACACACACACACACACACTACAAAACAAAGAAAAATGACCCCCCAAATCTCCAGAAGAATACAGAAGCAATTGCATTCTACTGCAGTAGGATTTCAGAAAGGAAAAAAAAAAATAGGGTCATTAAATCCTAATATCATTACACCATAGACTGTTTTTCTCTGTGAATATCTCTCTGTATGTGTATGGGTGTGTCAGTGGACCTTATTTATGTCAGCATTTTGAAGTTATAACCTGAATTCTGCACATCAATTTTCTACACGTATTCATACACAAGTCTAAAATCTGTTAGGTCTGAGAAAATAAGCAGACTCTTCTGTACATGGTTGAGGAGGTCAGCGACTCTGCTCATCCAAAATTTGGCTCAGATTAAGAGATCCCCGTCTTTTTTCCCCTCATTGTCAAGGGCTCTAGGACACAGAGATCTACAGTGACTCTCTCCACTGTGGTCCTACCCAGAGACACTCCCCAACACATGTCCCCAGCCACCAACCCAGCCAGAGCGCAGGCAGGTTTAGTACCTGTCCTCTACAACCTTACTATACAAACCCAGTTCTGAGTTCCTCTCCTGTTGGAGACTACTTGTCTCCTGGTTTTTGCCGTGAGACTGAACATAAGAAAGCACTCACCTGGCTGGTCCTTGCTCCAGAGTTCGGTGCAGGGAAGTGTCAATCAGGATGAGCCACAGTTATAGGGACAGGGTCCCTAGACCTCATCTCCCCACAGAGATGACATTACCATGTCAGCTGTGTCTCAGGAACACTGTCTGCCGGGAGAATCTGGGGCGTCTCTAATGAGAAGCAAATTTTATCCCCATTGCAAGTCTTCACCAGCCTCTTCTGGCAATTAATGGTAATTTTTGGTAATTAATTTAAAGTTCCTGAAAATCTGCTAAACAACAGGCAGAGAGAAGTTTCTATGTTCCCTGTGGAAGAATCTAAGTTCAGAGTCAAAGTTGCCATCTGTGGTGGAATTGAAACTCAGTGTATGGACTTCGGAAAACAAACTGAGGGTTTCAGAAGGGACGGGGGTAGGGGGATGGGGTAGCTGGGTGATGGGTATTAAGGAGGGCACGTGTTGTGATGAGCACTGGGTGTTATACACAACTAATGAATTGTTGAACACTACGTCAAAAACTAACGATGTGCTATATGCTGGCTAACTGAGCATAATAAAAATAATAATAATAATAAATAAAACCATAAATCATCAAAAAAAAAAAAAGAAACTGAATGTTGGGTCAAGGGTTCCAGTTACAGTATTTCCAAATGGGCATTTCCTGTTTCCAGAATCAGGCTGACACCATGATTAGCTCATACTGACCATCTCCATTTGATCTGGAAACTGGTCTCTCCCTTGACTTAAATAACACAATTCCTGTTACTTAGGGCCCCACGTCTTCTACATCTGGAGGATATCCCACTTGAAGTTAGTCTATCTTACCTCAGAACCTGTGAGCATCTCTAATGTCCACGTGACTCCCCAAGAGCTCATGATGTGCTTCCCAAATCACCCAGAGAGCCCTCCTCCCTTGTCCCTCATCAGTCAACCAGACTGTCCTTTATTTTCAGAGTTTGCCCTAGGAAGAAGTATTCCTGGATGTACAGAAAAGATTCAAGGGGAAATAAAAATAGCACAGATAGAGGGATAGCGTCAGAATTATTTAAAATCAAGAGAGGGGCCAAAAGCCAAATAGAAAATTGGGCAAAATAATAAAAAGAAAATTCACAAGATAGATGAGATGACCCTGAATCATATGTATGTTATTTATGGCAAGTCTGTCAATAAGTTATTCTTCAAGATTGGTTTGGATATTCTATATTTTTTGCATTTCCGTATTATTTTTAGAGTAAGCTTGCCAATTTCAACAACAGCAACAACAAAGACAACACAAGTGGGATGGATCGTGACTGGGATTTGTCCGCTCCTTAGATCAACCAGGGACATATATAGGGTCAGGGAGTGTATGGAAAATCTCTGTACCTTCCTCTCACTTTTGTGGTAGATGTAAAACTTCTCTGAAAAATAGTTTGTTGCAAGTTTTCAAAATACTCAACAAAAATTAAGTTCTATATAGGGTCAATAAGGCATGAACAATTTCTTATAGAGGCAACAGAAAACCAGACAAAGTTTAATTAAGACAATGAGGTATTTACGTATATTTGAAAAAGAAAACGTTGGATTAAACTGTGTAACATTTGGAAAAGAGAATACTGAAGTTTTTTAAAAGGCTATTGGAGTGGCATATTCTAAAGGGTAAGTACAGATTTGGAAATGTATTTTTTTATTAGACCATGAAACTGATCAAATGCAAATTTGAACAAACTAAAAATGGAAAGTTTGAGTGGGTGCTAAATGTAGTGATAGCAATAAAATCTAGAATCTATAGATGCATTCTACCATCGCTTCTGAGTCAAAATCGTCAAAGGATTGTGGTTCCTTCAAATCCAAGCTCCTGCTTCCCAAGACACTCACTAAGAAAATAAAGTCATGCTTTCTAAAGTGTTCATCCATTTTAATGTATTCCTCTATCACAAGCTAAGATGGGAATTTTAAAGGTGGGGATGGGGGCTTAGGCACAGATGGCACACCCACAGTCATACCACTAGGACTCTAAAGGGACAGGCCTGAAATCACAGCCCCCACCACCATGAATTACAGTTTACAGGACAGGCTGTGCTGGGAGGAGGATGGCCCACTGTGACCAAGGAGAAGGCTTTGTGAGATTTTTGAGGTGTTCCCCCGTCAGGTGAGCACACCCCCGATCCTGTACTCTTCGTTGACCCAGAGAAGATGGGAAATGGTCAGGTGGGGATTTTTCTCTTCCACAGCAGTGAGCAGCGTCTGAATCTCCTCATCAAAAGGAGATTTGCAAAGGCTGGGAAAATAGAAATAAAGGTTTCTTGACTCTACACATGATTGTTCACCTCTCTACATCCCAGGGCCTACTTCTAAGCCATTCTTCCCGAGAGGTGACTGGCAAGATCGTTTTGAGTGTGCAGAGAAAGCACGTATTTTTCCTCGAGGAGAGGAATGTGGAGCATAGGGATGTGATCCACTCTGTTCCTCCCCAGCATGTCATCCAGGGGCCTGGTGTATGGAGGGCACCCAAATATTCATTCTACGGATGTCAAATGCATACACTTCACATGCAAATGTGACTTTCAGAACAACGCTGACTGCTGCACTTCCAGGAAAGTGCCTCTGGGTCAGAACTGCTCAGCCCTTTATACATCCAGCCACCATGTCTGAGCTGATGTTCCTTCTCTATGGACAATGTGAGCAGGAGGTGGTGTTTACCGTAAGGCAGTGGTTCTTGCCTGGGGCAATTCTGCCCCTCCGGGGACATTTGACAAGATCTGGAGATGTTCGTTTTTTTTATTTCAGGGAATGGATGTTCTAGCTCTTCTGTTTTAATTTTCAATTAATTTATTATTATTTTTTTGAGATATGATTGACATAGAACATTGGATAAGTTTCAGGTATACAACACATTGGTTTGATACATCTCTAAATTGCCAAATGATTGCCAACTTAGCATTAGCTAATACCTCCATCATGTCACATTATTATAGTTTCTTTTTTGTGGTGAGAACAACTGAAATCTTGTCTCTTAGCAACTTTGAAGTTCCCATTTTTGATCATCATGACTGAAGGAAGGTGCTATGGGCATGTAATAATATGCAGGGAGAGGCCAGGGATGCTGCTCAGCATCCCGCAATGCTCAGGACAGTCCCCACAGCAAAGGACTCCCGACCCAAATGTCAGTCATGCCAAGACTGGGAAAACCTACCATGGGCTGATTTGACTCTGAGGGAAAGGACATCCACTCACCGGAGCTGCTGCAGGGCACAGTC